TACCACATTGACTACATTCATAGGGTTTCTCTCCAGTATGTATTCTTTCATGACTGAGAAGAAGACTCTTCTGTGCAAAGGCTTTACCACATTGATTACATTCATAGGGTTTCACACCATTATGAATTCTTTCATGACTGTGAAGATGACTCGTCTGTGCAAAGGCTTTACCACAATGATTACATTCATAGGGTTTCTCACCATTATGAATTCTTTCATGACTGTGAAGATGACTCTTCTCTGCAAAGGCTTTACCACATTCATTACATTTATAGGGTTTCTCTCCAGTATGAATTCTTTCATGACTTTGAAGACTACTCTTTTGTGCAAAGGCTTTACCACATTGATTACATTCATAGGGTTTCTCTCCAGTATGAAGACTTTCATGTCTATGCAGATGACTCGTCTGTACAAAGGCTTTACCACATTGATTACATTCATAGGGTTTCTCTCCAGTATGAATTCTTTCATGACTAAGAAGATGACTCTTCTGTGCAAAGCGTTTGCCACATTGATTACATTCATAGGGTTTCTCTCCAGTATGACTTTTTAAGTGAGTGAGAAGACGACTATTATATGGAAAAGCTTTACCACACTGATTACATGCATAACGTTTCTCTCCAGTATGAATTCTTTCATGACTGAGAAGATAACTCCTCTGTGCAAAGGCTTTACCACATTCATGACACTCATAGGGTTTCTCTCCAGTATGAATTCTTTCATGACTGAGAAGACTATTCTTCCCTCTAAAGGCTTTACCACACTGATTACATTTATAGGATTTCTCTCTAGTATGAAACCTTACATGACTGTGAAGGCTTCTGTTCTCTGCAAAGGCTTTACCACATTGATTACATTCATAGGGTTTCTCTCCAGTGTAACTTCTATTATGTATTATGGGACATGCAAAGGCTTTATCACATTGCTGAGATTCATACCTTTTCTCACTAGTTTGAATTCTATGTACTTGATGAGGACTATGACATGCAAAGCCTTTATATCTTTGATTATACTCACAGGGTTTTCCTTTCAAATGAGTTCTTTGGTGTTTTAAAGAGCAATCACTACTAAAGACTTTATCACATTGATTATATTCATAGAGATTCTCTTCATTAATGGGTGTTTGGTGTGTTTGAAGATGCCTGTAATGGCTAAAGTCTCTGGTAGATGACTCACATATATTATTTTCTCTTAACAAATGAGTTTGTTCACATCTTTGAAGAGAACTTGAAGAACTCAGAGTTGGACCAAACTGACTGCATTCATAACATTTTCTTATACTGTGAGCCACACTACATGTGCACAGTGAACCAGCAGAGAGAGAGGAATTTCCATATTCCTGGTACTCATTTTCTCTAATGAGAGTTTGTTGCTGAATTTCCACTGAATTTGGAAAACCAGTTAATTGTAAACTTCTATCACAGTCATCATGTCTTCTCATAGTGGGGACTACCACATATCTTCCAGCTGTTCTGAGAGAGACAGAAGTACAATGCTTCTTTCCATGTCCCTTATGCTCACATGGATTGTGTCCAGAGTGACAGATGACACACCTGCTAAAGAAAGATAACAAATAAAGGGTTTTCACATTGCATTTCCATAGTCAAACGTTTTTTGTGTGATACAGATGTAGAATAGTGATCCATGTTTCTACATCTCCAAGTCACTCATAAAGTGCTCCTCTCAGTAACCTATGCTAAATCACTCACTACAAGAAAATGAGGAACACTAGCTTTAATATGGAAGCTTTACTTATAAAAGGTCTTGTACATACCCAATCTCCTCATCAATGTGTATACCTTATATGATAAATGGAAGGCATGGCAGTAAGTGGATGGACAGTCCTACAACATGCCTCTCACATGGCTATGATTGAACCTGTGACATCTATTCTCACATTGTTTCCTTCTTTTGTCCTTAAAGGTGTTGGTGAAAATGTATGAATAGTGTGGTTACACATGGGGGTTTCTGACAGGTTTTGAATGCCTGAGTTTATGTGTCCTGAACGTGTCTTGCTAATTGGATGTTTTGAAACCTATAAGGCTTGTGACCTCAGATTGAAAGTGTGCTGGAGAATATCATGTGGTCTGCCACTACCTAATTACAGGCAGCCAGCTACCTGGGCAGGCACCATTTTGGCTAAGGTCAGAGAGAGAAGTAAATGACTTCACCGCCATCTTTAGGAAGGGTGACCATGTAGCCGGCCACCATTTTGATTAAGGTTAAAGATACTTCACCACCATGTTTAGTAAGGGTAACCACTTGGACTGGGACAACCAAGGGGACATTAGGTCTCCAATATTATTGGGTTAGGATATATTTCTGTTTGATAATTCCTGTGGTTAGGATACATATCTGTTTGATAATTCCTGTCCTGTTCCTGTCTGTTCTCTCTTTTCCTGTCTGCTCTCACACATTGAACGACTACATAATGTCTCCAGGCAGTTTGTTCTGTTTGGTCCCTCCTCCTTTTGTCCCTCCCACCAGAGCTATCTCCACCGCCACAGCCACCACCACCACCACCCCACCACCACGTCCACCAGCACCACCACCACCTGTCCTGGCCTAAAAACCAGTTTTATGAAAACAGGATTTAAAACAATGCTGGTTTTGACAACTGATATTGAAACTAAATATTTTGCAACATTAAAACTTAGTTTTGTCCTGCATATCTTAGGATCACCACTAAAAACTAATGACTGAATCTTCTTGCACTTACTAACATTGGTAAGCTGTAACTAATTAGGTAAACTGTATGTTTAGACTTAACTTATATATGCCTTCAAATTTAAGCCTAAATAACATTTGTCTAGTTTAGATATACCTAACATTCTCAAACACCCTTAGAGATCTGAGAATATGGCATTTAGTATAATATCTTTTTATGAGAGACATGCCAACTCCTGGAAACATCCTGTATCTTCTCAAAAAAGATGGATGGCCACAGAAGAACTTCCACCTGGAGGCTTGCCTCAAATGTAACAAAGCCAGCCACACATCAAAAAGATGCTTTACACCTTTAACTGCTGCTGAGATCATGTCCAGACTGTGAATAAGTAGAGCAATGGGGGAACAATTGTGTCACTCTGCCAAGACAGGTAGGCCTATCTCCCCAAATTTCTACTCCACAAAGAATCTCTCAGATCCTCTGCTCTTGGCATCTGAACAAGTGCTACCTCTGGGACTTGTCCCACAGTGACCACGGAGAGACTTGGGACTGCCTGGGTAACTGGAAAGCTGGCTCACTCCTGCTCATTTACTTATCCTTCTCAGATCTGATGGTGTTGATGACCAGGGTACTAATAGATTTGCCACTTTAACAGCACCGCCAATCCCAAGGCTACAAGCACATTAATACTTCATTAGTAAGTTTCCTATAAAAAATATATACAGCTGTGCTTCATTCACAGACTCCATGGTAGAGGATAAATGGTTTCAGATATAACTTCAGAGTTCAAAGTTTTAGCTTTGATGAATGCAGTTTTGACAAATTGACAGAGCACTGATTACAGTCTTCAGGGGTCCTTAAATTTCTGTGGATTTTACTGGTCCAGCTTTTAGAGGTAGGTTAACATTAGAGAGGATACAGAACCCTGCAGGCATGTTCACTCCCTCCTCCTTCACTCACACAACCTCCTTTGTTCAGTAAATTTAGACTTCAAAATGTTAACCCAAGGCCATAGCTTTTTTTTTTTTTTTTTTTTTTGGTTTTTCGAGACAGGGTTTCTCTGTGTAGCTTTGCGCCTTTCCTGGAACTCACTATGGAGACCAGGCTGGCCTTGAACTCACAGAGATCCGCCTGCCTCTGCCTGCCAACTGCTGGGATTAAAGGCGTGCCACGGTTTTTTACAATGACACCAAGATATAAATCTGTTCCAGTAGTTTTACAGACACCTGAAGGTTCCTGGGAAAAGGGTTCTGATACTTTGTAAAGAAGTCTGGCCTGAAGGAAACTACTATTACTTTCCAGAGTCTAATTTGACCCCACTCATTTTTGAGCATATTCTCTAGATTCACTCTTCATTCCTGGGCCAAGGCCAAACCTGCAGGGGCCCTCCACATACACCAGCCATTGCAACAGCTCCGAAGATGCAAACCAAGCAAGGGCACCAACTGGAGAAATAATAACAGGCTGATTTCACCCAACTGCCCACTCATAAAAAGCTCCATTAACTCTTAACTCTTATGACACATTCACAGGATGGATGTTCTCCCAACCTCCAGGGCAACAGCAGATACATGGCTCCAGCACTCCTGGAACACTTCATCCCTAGATTTCGCATGTCATCTCCCCACGCTCCTGGGACTTCACTGCTGTTACCACCTCTCCAGGCACAAGTGGGCACCTAACCAGCAACTGAAACCTTGTTTTCCAAGATGTCCCAATTAAGGGCATATCTGCCCTCATGCCTCACTCATTCACCCTTGACTCTTTTGTACAACCAGGACACTTCTCAGTTCCATTCTTTCTGGCAGTTTTCCTACTACCAATGGGTAGCCCCATTCACAGGGCCAGTGATAATATCAATTTTTTTCTCCTAGCTGCCTGCATTCTGTCTCCTCAAGAACAGATTCCTGTGCCTGGAGGTGGTGGCACACACCTTTAATCCCAGCACTCAGGAGGCAGAGGCAGGCAGACCTCTGTGATTCAAGGCCAGCCTGGCTGCACAGTGAGTTCCCGGAAGATAACAAAGCTACACAGAAAAACCATGTCTTGGGGGAATAAAAAAAAGAACAGATTCCTGAGGTAACCTGGATGGCAGCTATCCAAATGTTACTCCACCCAGAACTCCAGGTGAGCATGGGCCCACCCAAATCCCACCCACTCCCTCCCTACATCATCCCATGCCAGCAGGAAATAGAAAGACTTGACCGGCACCCATATAGACCCAAAAAGACTGGGAGTTTGGAATCTCCAGTTCAGGGAGCCCCGTTCCACAAAGCCCACGACTGGCGGCTCCTCCTCCCAGGGATGTCTGGGACCATGCCCATGCCTACTGGCTATTTAAGACCAGGCCCATAGATCTGCCATGGGTGCTCTCCTCTTCTGTCTCATGCCTTCCTGAGAGCCCCTGGAGTCCTTTGCTTTGCTATGCTCTGTTTATTAAATCAGGATTTATTAATTTGGTTTGATTTGACTTATTGTATCAGTGATGGAGGAAGCCAGCAACCGGAGATCTGATATTTATCATAACATACATTTATGCAAGCTTGCACATGAAAAATACCTTCCATTTCTTCTACAGCTCTGACAATGTTCTTCAATATTATGGTCTTCCCATTTGTAACCTAAAATACAGTACCAGAAAATGTATGTGATATATTACTGGAAATTAGGCACACTTGAAATTACTATCTTTCATGAAACTTGCTACCATGCCTGATTTATTTACCAGATTCTCCCCCTTTCATATGCAAAATCATAGAAGAGACCACCAATCCAAAGAAAAAAGCTTGTCCCCCTTTAGTTAAAAAGTGACAGAAAGCAGGGGCTGGACAGATGGCTGAGTGGTTAAGAGCACTGGCTGCTCTTCCAGAGGACCTGAGTTCAATTCCCAGCAACCACATGGTGGTTCACAACCATCTATAGTAGGACCTTGTGCCCTCTTGTGGAGTGAAGGGACACATGCATACAGAACACTGTATACATAATAAAAAAGTAAACTTTTTTAAAAAACTGACAGAAAGCTCACATTCTTACCTATACAAGTGAGGTTCCAGTAGGTTTCCAGCATCACATCTTTGTAGAGATGCTTCTGGGAAGGATCCAGCAAAGCCCACTCTTCATGAGTGAAGTTTACATGCACATCCTCATAGGTCACTGCTTCCTAAAATATCCCATACATATGTTCTTAATTGAAATGATGAGACTGAATTGCAAATGTACACTTCATTGAGAATATATTTATATAATTCTGTGTGCTCAAAACATTCAATGACATTGGTCAGTAAATATCAAATGCAGTCACCAACTCATTTTAAAAGGAAACATCAAAAGAGAATGACACCTTCCATTCCAGTGCCTAAAGAACAGAATATGGCACAGAAATGCCTGGCCCAACCTCTAGTAAAAAAAAAAAAAAAAAAAAAAAAAAATTGAGCAGGGCAGTGGTGGCACATGCCTTTAATCCCAGCACTGGGGAGGCAGAGCCAGGTGGATCTCTGTGAGTTCAAGGCCAGCCTGGTCTACAGGGTGAGATCCAGGACAGGAACCAAAACTACAGAGAGAAACCCTGTCTTGAAAAAAAAAATTGCGGATAAGGCATAAAGTACTAAGCCAATGCTGTTTAAATTTCCAGAGATATCAGTTACTCATTGTGTATAAGATGTCTCTTCTCTTGATTATCTAATTAAGTTTAAATGAATGTTTAAGTTTCACAGTAAGTGGATTCAAGAACAAATTTATGATTTTAAACTATATTATTTGGCATGCTCTTGTCTGTTACTGCAATTTGGCTCTGCTCTTCAAGTTGCTCTCTGGAAATTCTTGGTTAAATTCTATTTTTAAAAAATGTAACAGAACAGGTTACTCTGTTACAGGAACCTGAAACAGAGCAGGTTGTTAGCTAATTAGATAGTGTGGTTGTGAAGGCCTAGACTTAACTATACAGGCTCAGGAATATGCCGTGATAACTCAAACGGATACAGAGCAGTATCCTCCTGAACAAATCCTGAGAACTATAAAATAATTCAACCTATGGGATAATTACAGTCTGAAATTACTTTACCTATTCAAGTACTATGTAATTTGTTTCAAATTTTACAAGGTGACTCAGATTTAAACAATACAACACAATTAACAGCTAAAGTTGAAAATAAAAATGGCCCAAGTAAAACAAAAATTACAAAATGCCTTTGTGGATCAGTAGATCTCACAACTGAATGTATTTTAGTAATTTTACCTTCCACTCACTCCCCTAGTGGACTCATTATGCAAAGGGAAGATACTATTTTAAATTGAATATTCCTAGCTCACAATCAGAGTAAAATGTTAAAAATGTATATAGAAAAGGTTTCTAGCCGGGCGGTGATGGCGCACGCCTTTAATCCCAGCACTCGGGAGGCAGAGCCAGGAATCTGACTGGATACATGGGCAACCATGGAAAGGTGAGAAACCTCGGGTGCTAATTAGTATCTCCCATGCAGATGTCATTGATTGGAGCCCTTATGGCTCCCCTCAAGGAAAACATTCTCACTCATTATTAAGATGACACAAATATAGTTCAATGCAACTATAGAAATTAGCTCTGCTGTTAATGAACCTGTACAATGGCATGGAGTTGGAATATCAAGTCCTCTCCTACAATTTGGCAATTCAGTTCAGACTAACTTGAAGAAATTAGCAAGTGCCGTCCACCCTCTTAAAGCGTGGGAAGGAGAGTTAAACATTAAGAATAAAACTTTGTCATTTAGAATAAATCAAAGCCATCCTTTTATAGAATGTATACCATTACCGTTTTAGCTACTGAAGGGGCCTGTACAATGGCACCCTAATAATTACAGCATCACTTGTGAACACTGTACCCTTCATACCTGTGTTAATTCTAGTATGTCTTTAGATATAACCTCTGAAAGTTTTGACATTCTTAGAACAAAGCCAACAGTCTGGATGCCAGTGAAGTCGTCAAGGCCATAGCAAGACTCACCTGTGATGACCGTAGTGCAGAAGCTCACTGAAAGAATATTATGAAGAACACATTGAATGCTAAGACTGATAACTGCAATAGTTATGGGCATTGTTGCATTGGCTGCTACTGCTACAGCAGCTGGATTGGCCCTTCATAAAGAAAGCCAAACTGCTGAGTTCATTAGAGACTGGCACAAGCAATCTCCAGAACTTTGGACTCAACAAAATAAAACAGTGAGATAGTTGATGGAATAGCTGATGTGAGACAAACTGTTATTCTGTTGGGGGATTGCCAGTCACCATGTCAGAGGAGCAGCAGATGGCAACTGATTTCGAGGGATCGGCCCACCAGGATATAAAACTCTGATGGGTGAATCTCAGATATGCAAGGCCCTGAAAGCCTCAGCCCCAGGATGTTTCTTTCCACTGTTGTGTCTTTGTATGCTTGCCACTGCCATTGTTCTCTGGAATCTGGCATGGTGTGAGTGGGTGTGGGGGTCCCCACTGCCCTTAATTGTAAATATAACCAACCGTCTTATTAAATAAGAAACACAGAAACAATGCAAAGAAGAAAGCCAAGAGATCAGAGCTACGAGCCTTACCGCCTGCTGCAGCTAGCCTCTTCAGCCAAGAGACCTCTCTGAAAGGGACCTATTTCCTGTGTGTTTGTCTTTATATAGTCTTTCTGTTCTGCCTTCTCATTGGTTGTAAACCCAAACATATGACTGCGTCGTCACTTTCTGTCTGTAGAGACTTCCAGGTCTTCTATGGTATTGAGATTAAAGGCATGTGTCTCCAATGCTGGCTGTATACTTGAACACACAGAGATCTACCTAGCTCTGGCTTCCAAGTGCTGGGATTAAAGGCGTGCGCCACGAATGCCCATCTCTTCTATAGCTTGCTATTAGCTCTGACCCCCAGGCAACTTTATTTATTAACATACAAATAAAATCACATTTCAGACAAAATATTATCACTATACTTAATGTAGTATGATTATCTCTTGGAAATATCTTGTTTTACTGGGCATTTTTACCTGAGGATTATTATGAAGATGACTTCCTCCTAAGCTGTACTGTTTAACTGAAGCAATGATTTTATACAACAATAGTGTTAGTTAAAATGGGATTTTGATGATTGATGGTCTTTAATGAATATAGTAAGGGATTATGATGGAGGTTAGTTTAGTGGAAAAATTAACACAGGAAAAGATAGGATAAAATGCTGTCTTTGTCTCTGATAAGTCAGAGGCTGTAGAAGATTTTTAAAAAATGAAACAAGACAGTGTCACACTGATAGAACACTTGAGTTTCTATTCAGGACATACAGACTATGGCTTAGGTTAATGATTAGAAAAAAAAACAATTGAGTCAGGATCATCTCATTAGAAAAGGCCTTTGACAAAAATCTAACACCCCTTCATAATAAAAGTCCTGCAGAGATAAGGGATACAAAGAACATACCCAAACAAAATAAAGGCAATTTCCAGCAAGCCTATAGCTATCATCAAATTAAATGGGGAGAAACTCAAAGTTATTCACTTAAAATCAGGAACAAAACAAGGCTGTCCTCTCTCACCATATCTATTCAATATAGACCTGAAAGTCTTAGCTAAAGCAACACGACAACTGAAGGAGATTTAGAGGATACAAATTGGAAAGGAAGAAGTCAAAGAATATTTATTTGTATATGATGTGATAGTGTATGTAAGTGGGCCAAAATATTCCACAGAGGAACTCCTATGGCTGATAAACACTTTCAGCAAAGTGGCTGGATATACAATTATCTCACAAAAATAAACAGCTCTCCTAAGTACAAATGGCAAAGGAACTAAGAAAGAAAACAGGGGAAAGACACCTTTCAAAACTGCCTCAAATTATTATCAAATTTCACTCGGGTAACTCAAACCGAGTGAAAGACTTTAATGATAAAATTCAAGCCTTTGAAAAAAGAAACTAAAGAAGATATAAGAAGATGGAAAGATCAACCACACTCATAGATCAATAGGCTTAACATATTAAAAATGGCAATCCTACCAAAAGTAATCTGCACACTCAATGCAATCCCCATAAAATCCCAACACAATGCTTACAGATCTCAAAAGGACAATCCTCAACTTCAGATAGAAAAATAAAACACCCAGCATAGCTAAAGCAATTCTGAACAATAAAAGAACTGCTGGAGGTTTCACCATTCTACACTGTATGCTGTACTACAGAGGTATAGTGATAAAAACCACATGGTACTGGCATAAAAACCGATGCATGCATCAATAAAATAAAATTGAAGACCCAGGTCTGAACCCACACTTCTATGGACACCTGGGTTTTGATAAAGAAGCCAGAAATACACACTGGAAAACAGCATGTTCAACAAATGGTGCTGGTCAAACAAGATGTCTGCATATAGAAGAATGCAAATAGGGCTGGAGAGATGGCTCAGTGGTTAAGAGCACTGGCTATTCTTCCAGAGGTTCTGAGTTCAATTCCCAGCACCCATATGGTGGCTCACAACCATCTGTAATGAGATCTGGCTCCCTCTTCTGGTCTGCAGGGATACATGCAAAAAGAACACTATATACATAATAAATAAATAAATCTTTTAAAAACAGAAGAAGGAAGAATACAAATAGATCTATACTCACCATCCTGCACAGAACTCGAGTCCACATTATAGGAGACTGTATGACCATGCCCTGTGTGAAATGTTAGCTACTGAGTACTGTATGCTACACACAAGCCACAGCCAAATGCCCAGTGTCTCAATACTCTCACCTGACTAAAGTGAGACAAACAGATTTGCAGTTACCACCATGAGAGAGTTGTCCAATCAGAAATTTCAGTGGCTCAGGCTAACCTCCCCACACTGTACACCCACCAATTTGGTTTTCCTTCATTCATGTGGTATGAATTAATACATACTGGGGAAGTACACAGAAAGGCACTCACCTGCCCAATCATGTCCTTTTTTATAACAGAGACACCTGCAGCTCACTGACTTAAACAATCTCCAATCTAGCTATGGCCTAGTCAATTTTCCCCTGTGGTATATACAATAAACTATTCCTTCTACTCTGGTCTCAATAGAGAAGCCATGCTCCACACACAAATCCTATCCCTGTTAGTGCAATGGACAGCCCATTCCATGACTCCAATGGGTAGTTTGAGAAGTGTGTGCTACTTACAGGGTGGTGGTGGCACAAGCCTTTAATCTCAGCACTCAGGAGGCACACACAGCTGAATCTCTGTGAGTTTGAGGCCAGCCTGGTCTACAGTGTGAGTTCCAGAACAGCCCAGGCTACATACAGAAACTCTGTCTAAGGAAAAGAAAAAAAGTGTGTACTGCTGCAAACCTTTAATCAAGAATTGAGGAGGTTGAGTCCTGAGGACAGCAGAGTCATTGCCCTGTGGGCCTAAACACCGGGACCAAGCCAAAGAGAGTCAACATAACAAACCTTATCTTAAAATATTGTTCTGAAAGCTGGAAGGTGTGACTGATTTGGAATTAATGTGAATTCCCAATGAGACATCATGCCACACACTTAAGAGATTAATTGAGAAAACTCTCCTTAGAAATAGAAAGCCTCCAGCTCTACCTAACAAACAAAGAGGAGCTGGCCAGGAACAGATTTGCCAACTTGTATATACAATAGGCTTATGCATTCCACATATGCTCTCAACCTGGAGATGCGTTGATTACTGCCCTCCTGATAGCATGGCTTGCTCAGTTTGACCGTTATAGAACTCAGGACCACCTGCCCAGGGTAGCACCAACCACAGTGGGTTGGGCCCTATTACATCAACCACTAATCAAGCAAATACCCTATAGGTTTACCTACAGACCAGTGTGACTCTACCTTGTGTCAAGCTGACCAAAGTTAACCAGCATACCTACTGAGTCATCTCACAGCCCCCAAAGACAGATTGTTAAGCAAACCTCAACTCTCAACACTTGCTCTTCAGCATATACTTGTGCATGCACACACATGAAGTTTTGAAAATCTGTCAAGTTTAGGGCTGGAGAGATGGCTCAGCACTTACCACCACTTATGCTCTTGTAGAAGACCTGGGTTGGGTCCCAGCACTAATCTGGTGGCACACAATCATCACTAAATCCCCTTGCAGAGGATCTGATGCCCCCTACTGCCTTCCGTGGGCACCAAACACACACACAATGAACATACATTTATGCAAGCAAAACAGCCACACACATAGAATAAAATAAATAAACAGCGCTAGTTAAAAACACATACCGTTGAGGGGAGCCGTGGCACACACCATTAATCCCAGAGGCAGAGGCAGGTGTAACTCTGGGTTTGCACCAGCCTGGTCTACACAAAGTTCTAAGACAACCAAGGCTACACAGAGAAACCCTATCTTGAAAAATTAAATAAACAAATAAAACCATATCCACATATCACTTTTATGTCACCATGGATAATAAAACAGCCAGAAGTACTTTGAAATGTGACTAATATCTGTAGGCAAAGCTATGAATTTGTAATAAAAAGAATCAGCGAACTAAATAAAAGTAGAGAAATTCCAGGATTGCGGACAGGAAGCCTCAATATTATTTCAGTACAAAATTGAGCAACAGATTCAGCAACAGTAAAGTAAAAAGTCCAACAATTTTTCCTACCAACCATAGAAAAATGATGACAAAGGTCACCATGAATGAAAAAAATGATCAACATAGGATTAGGTAAATAAACCACACACACTCTGACACCATCTGAATTTAAAACATCATACAACTGTAATGAAGACTGGACTGTCTGGGAAAGAATTAAGAGATCATCAGAACAGGGGGACAAACTTAGAAATGAACACACAATTAATATGGAGTTAATTGTGACACAGGAGGCCAGGAAACCCAGTAAGAATGGCCTTACTGACACACGTGACTGGACCACCCTGTCATCTACGCGCAAATGTGTTAATGGCACAGAACTCACACCCTGCACAGAATTACTGCAGACAGATCTATCAACACCTGAATGTTCAGTGCCAAGTGCAGAACTTCTAGAAGACACTAGAGACACCAGGGCTCTGAGAGTTAGCAAATCTGCCTTTCCTGGAGATAGTAAAAACAGCGCATACATGAGCCCTGCACCATAACTTTGGCAACAAGTACGTTTCCACCCCAGGTTTCCCGCCTCCCACGCTCTGCGCATGCGCACCCGGGGGCGCCACATAATTACTTGGTCCGCTGGTTCCCGCCCAGCTCCCGGTAGTGGCATGGCCCTTGTGTGACCTCACTGTGTTGGGCGGCTGTTTCCCACAGCCTAGGAGGACCCCACACCTGTTCCCAAGGCTCCACCCCGCATGGGGACGGCGGCCCCTCGCTCACCATGGCGGATTCCCAGCTGGCCCCGCTCCCCTCCCAGCTCCCGGCAGCCGGTCACAGCGCAGCACACCAGGGTCTCACATCCCCAAACTCGGAGCTTAGGGAGCCTTCACCAAGTGGGATCGGAAGTACCCGCCCACATTCTGAATGGAAGTCCATCTGGAGGCCGTGATTGGCTAGTGGTGCCTGAGTGACAGGGGCAGCTCCCTTAGAGACAGAGTGCAGTGAAGAGATGCAGCTCTGTAGTTCCCAACTGTCCCAGACCTGCAGAGATTGGCATCGAAGAAGAAACTTGCACCTGGTCTGCAGAGTCGTCCATGAACTTGTCCCTCACTCGGTAGACAATTCTCCATCTGCCCACAGGGTCTCTCTAGCATATGGAGATCATTAAACAATGTGCAGTGGAGTGACCCCCCTCCCTCACAGCTGAAATGGTACCCAGTCCACCCAGTTCAAATACAAACCACCTGACTGATATTCACCAGGCACCAGCAATTGCAATAAGGCACACCTAGGACTGCTCACACCTCTCTCAGCTGCACCTTGCCGTCCAAACACTGACACTTTCCCAGCTTTCTATGGTGGCACTGACCTACCATGCCAGCACTTGAGAGGTAGAGACAGGAAGGACATCAAAAGGTTAAACCAGCTTGTGACCCGAAACACCAGCAATTAGGGGCCCCGATGAGGAGGTGTTCAGGGTGACTGACGACCTGAAATAGAAGATAGAAAGTTATGGAGCAGTACATATTGTATAAACTGATGGCTCATGCTAAGCAAGTTTATTAGTACAGCTCTCACACACCATTTGAGAGGGGGCGGGGCAGGAAGAACTCAGGCGACCGACCTCAGGCTGAGCACCTGGAGGACTAGGGACTGATAGCCACACCCCCTCAGGCTAAAGAATCTGGAACCCTTGACTCCTTCAACACAATGGCTCAAATACCCGAACAGACTTCACCATGTCTGCCCTTAGGCCAACACACGAAACTAGCGTCCCTTGGATGATTTCATCAGGGCCTCAGAAAAGCCTTGCTTGGACTGACTCCCAAATAGCCCACCTCCAACCTCAACAAACAAAAACACATATGAAAATGGAAACTTGCTTTTGTGGGGAGTTTTATCCTGTGTCCTGCCTGCAGGCCTTCCACTGAAGTTTCATGCAAGCCACACTAACACTTGAATGGCATGTTCTACCGCAAGCCGCAGGAAAATGTAATGGGATTCAGCTACCATCACAAAAGCTACTACTTGGAAAAGCCAAGGACTTCTCCAAAGGTCAAGCCATGGCTTAAGAAGTCTTGGTGATATTTTAGCTTTTTTTTTTTGTGTGTGTGTGTGTGTGCGTGTGTGTATACACACACACACACACACACATATATGATTCCTATATATATAACACATATATATGGTTCCTAAAATGATTTTCTTGTGTGCATCCAAAAAACTCCTAACAGTTTAATTAACTAAAACGCCTATCAAGCATCTAAGGCCGAATGAAACTACACCGGTCTCTTAGGTCAGGCAGATAGCTTTATTTCTTGTACAATTTAGGGTGAGACCCTCCTTTCTTATACAACCTTTCTAATGGACCCCTAACTTCTTACCTAACCACTTTTAGGAATGTGAACAAAGCAAGTAGATCCCCTTTTTGATATACTAAGGGTCATTAGCACTCAGTTGACCTCCTCTTTCACCACTCCCATTTTGGGTTGTAAAAGAAAGCCTGGTGGTCCCTGCCTGAGGAGAATTCTTACCTGCCTTGATGACCCCATAGAATTCAAGCCTGGTGACTTTGCTCAACCAGGGGATTGTTATGGCTTGGGTTTATAACTGGATTCCTGGGAGAATTAGGGGGGATGTGGAGAACTGAGAGACAGAGAACAGAGAGGGATAAGGAGGATTTTGACAGAGAGAATGTGAGGATGAGATGGAAGATGAGGAAGAGTCAGATGGGGAAGTACTAGCTGGGTAAGAATGAGTTGAAAAGGACCTAGATGAGGCAGAATTAAGATGAGAGAATTAAGATAGAACTTTGAGGGAGCAATGAATATTTCAGGCAAGAAAGATGCTAAAAGAAAACAGAAGCTTGTAGAGAGAGAACTAGCACAGATAATAAAGTTCATGGACTAAGGATTTTCATGTACATAGATTCATTTCTTTTCTTCAAAGATTAATTATTAGCTGGTTGTACATTCTTCCCAGACTCTGGGAGGGGACTATCGAGGGGCTGGACCCCCATATTCCTCGATAATGTTCAATCTGGCATATGACAGGATTTCTGGATCACATAATCTAGTTTCCCAAGACTACTCATTTATACCTGAACATGGAAAATAACAGGTGGAGTCACATGCTAATGCTGATTATAGAATGGCTGCATGTTGGGAGCACAGAGGTGTAGCAGGCTTTCTTTTGGGCCACCAACCAGCTCACACATCATGACACAGAGACTTGTTAGGTATGAATGCTCGGCCATATTTTATGCTTGTCCTACTCGCTCTTATGACTTAACTTAAGCTGTCAGAACTTTTTACCTTTCATTCTATACGCCCTCTTTTCACTCTTCCTCGGTGGCTGGCAGGCTGGTGGCTGGCTGACTGGCCCTAGGCGTCTCCTTCTCTTTCTCCCTTCTCTCTCTGCTCTCATTCTCTCAGCTCTGCCTGTGTCCAGTACCATCTTACCTCAGGGATAAGGACGTGCAGTGCATTCTCAGCTAGATCCTGCAGATGCAGCAGATGCAGGCTCAGGGCCACTGAGGACACAGCTCAGCAGTTCAGTCTCCATCCTTCACTTCTGCAGGCCAAAGCCTCAGAGACAACCTTCCCAGACCCCAGGGTATGTACAGGACTCATCATGCATTGGGGGCCCAGCCAGGGACCTTGCTGTCTTAGTTGGGGTTTCTATTGCTGCAACAAAACACTATGACCAAAAAGCAATTTGGGGAGAAAAGGGTTTATTTGGTTTATACTTCCAGATCATACTCCATCATTGGAGGAGTCAGAAGAGGAACTCCCACAGGGCAGGATCCTGGAGGCAGGAGCTGATTCAGAGGCCATGGAGGGTGCTGCTTACTGGCTTGTTCAGCCTGCTTTCTTATAGAATCCAGGGCCAGCAGCCCAGGGATGGCACCACCCACAATGGACTGGACCCTCCCCCATTGATCACTAATTGAGAAAATGCCTTATAGCTGGATCTCATGGAGGCGATTCCTCACCATTTCCTCATTGAGGCGCCTTCCTCTATGATGACTCTAGCGTGTGTCAAGTTTTCATACAAGGCCAGGCAGAACAACTGACCCCTTGTCAACCTGACACATAAATACATCACTTTTAAAGCCACAATACCTCCTTTCTTATTCATCCCCCAGATGTCACATTAAAAATAAATAACTTTAAAAGTCCCACAGTCTTTACAAATTCAAACACATTAAAATTTGAGTCCCTTTAAAATCCAAAGTCTCTCAACTGTGAGCTCCAGTAAAATACTGTTTTACTTCAAGAGGGAGAAATCAGGGCAGAGTCAAAATAAAATCAAAGCAAAACAAAATTCCAACTGTCCAACATCTGGGATCCACTCACGATCTTCTGGACTTCTCCAAATGGCTGGGTCACTTCTCCAGCTCTGCCGACTGCCAGCACAGGGTACCATTTTGGCTGCTTCTGGAACACAGCTTCTCTGTACTCTCAGGAAACACTTCCCAGAAGATTTCCCCTCAGTGATGCAGGTCTCTTTTTAGTCACCAATAATTTCTTAGCTCCAGCTGACCAGCATCAAATATCCCAGCAAAGCAAAGTTTCACTTTAGTAGTTCTGGTCCCTTGTTAGTCACAGCTGATTCTTCAACCCCAGCTAACCAGAACCACAGGGTCTTAATTCAAAATAACAAATGGCCCTATAGAGTCTTTGTCCTCCTCTCTGAAACATCACTGCCAGGCCTCCAACCTCTCTACTGCTCTCAACATTCTTGTCTCCCAGGCTCCCACAGAACATCCTACCGAGCTCTTAGTTCCAAAGTTCCACAGCCCCCCCCCAACAAAAAAAAATACACTGACAGGTTTGTCACGGCAATATCCCACAATCCCGGTCCTAACTCATCCTAGTTAGGCTTTCTATCGCTGCAACAAAACACCATGACCAAAAAGCAATTTGGGGAGAATAGGGATAAATTGGCTTACACTTCCAGATCATACTCTACCACTGCAGGAAGTCAGAACAGGAACTCCCACAGGGCAGGACCCAGGAAGCAAGTGCTGATGCAGAGGTCAGGGAGGGTGCTGCTTACTGGCTTGCTCCCCATGGCTTGCTCAGCCTGCTTTCTTATAGACCCCAAACACACTACCCAAGGAAGGCACCACCCACAGTGGACTGGACCCTCCCTAACTGATCACTAATTGAGAGAATGCCTTACAGCCAGATCTCGAGAAAGCATTTCCTCAGCTGAGGCTCCTTCCTCTCTGATGACTCTAGCTTGTGTTAATTGACATGAAACCGGCCGGTACACTTACCGATGGTGCCCAGCTGACCCCAGCACACATTGCCCCCTACACTCTGGGACTCTGATTCCCATCACTCTGCAACACCTGACAGGCTGGATTCTCTTGTTCTTCATCATTTCAATACTTAGTTCATCTTGGCGGGTTTTGTTTTGTTTCATTTTGTTGTTGTTGTTATTGTTTGGCTGTGTGTGTGTGTGTGTGTGTGTGTGTGTGTGTGTGTGTGTAAATTAAATTCAGGACCCTATGCCCTAATCTAATTTTCTGTTTTTTCTTTTGAGATGAAGGTCTCTTGTGTCTCTCAGGCTGGAGTTAGAGTCACAGATGTCTCTGTCTCCGCTTCCCACGTGCTGGGAGGACAGATTGCCGTATCATGCCTGACTTTTCATTTGTCTTCTTTCCTGGCAGGGCCCCTGCTCCTGTCTCTCCCCATTTCTGGGCAAATCCCCCGAATCCCCAGGAGGCTCTGGGCTCTCTTGGTGATGAAGAGAGGGGTGTGGCCTGGAGTTTCCCAGGACTCCAGTCTGTCCCGGGGGTTCCCTTGGGTGTTCTGAGCAGGTGTCCTGCACAGTTCAGAGTGCCCCTGAGGCTGGGGACACCTGGGTGGCAGTTGCTCTGTTATCTGGGCCCTGACACAGTTTTGGGGAGATGTGGGTGGTAACAGAGCCACCACCCTGCACTGGGACCAGTCTCTGGGCCAGTGTCCCCTGTCTCTCTCTGTCCCTCTTTCTCTGTCTCTCTCTTTCTTGCTCCCTTCCTCTCCCACATCTGTCCTCTGCCTCACCCACCTCCCTGGGGCTTCCCCATCAGCAGGAAGTAAGGCCACCCAGTGACTTCTCCCTTTTGGGGCCCTCCCCCTGCCCCACCTCAAGGCCTTCCACACTCACACACCAGGCAGCTGCTGACAGAGCCGGGGCTCCCTTCACCACTGCAGCTGTCTTCTGGACCACGGAGCCCCACTGGGCAGGTCCTCACCCAGGGCCAGGCTCCCTTTGAGCTTCCTAGTCTTTGCCCCTGTCCTTAACCCTAGAGAACAGAGCACAGGCATGTCCCAGCGGCTCCTCCTGTCACTCACCCTCTGGGCAAGCTGCTCCCCGAGCAATGCAGGGACAGGTAGGTGGGCACTCTGGGGACGGGGCACCTGGGCCTTGGGGACCAGCCCTTTCCTTTCAGTCTCAGGTCATATCTGGAGTTGGGTGGGATCTCACACCTACCTATACCGGTGGGACCTGTTCCCATTCTGCTATAGGGATGGGGAAACTGAGACCCAGAGGGGCAAAGCCTCATTTATCCAGGCAGAGGTACCTTTGAGCTTAGAGGTTTGTGGAGATAGACAGTTGACTCTCAGCAATCCCCAAGTTTCACCTTTGTGACTCAACTGTGGAGCAGAAATGCTAGGCGATGCTGGGTATGATGGTGCACATCTGTCATGCAGCCCTCAGGAGGTTGAGTTAGGAAGCTTAGGAGTTCAAGGTCATGCGCAGTTACACAGTGAGTTGAAGGTCAGCCCAGCTACATGAGATCCTCCTTAAAAACGTTTTAAAAAAGAAAAAGGAAGAAAGAGGAAGAAAAAAAACTTTTCTTATCTAGACAATGGATCAGTTGAGGCCCTGGGGTGGGGGGTTGTAGTAGGCGTGGGAGCTCATGCTTCCATGTCTGACAGAGACCTGCTAGGCTCCTGGAAGCTCATGCTCCTGTCTCTCCCGCCCTAGCTGCTCTGAGCCAGCCCAGGGTCCGATGCCGTGCCTCTCGGTACCCCGTGGCTGTGGACTGCTCCTGGACGCCGCTAGGGGCTCCCAACTCCACGATGGCCACGTCCTTCGTCGCCACTTACAGGTAAGAGAATGGAGAGGGGCCAGGATGAAGTGGGGAACCAAGAAATTCCATTGTCCCGCTCCACTCAGGGTCGGAGGCAGCCTGAGACCCACAGGGTTCTCCCGTTTCCAAAATAACAGAACGAGTGTGGGGTGTCGGTAATCTAGGGAGTTCTTCAGAATCCACACACCCGGTGTCCCCTGTTTGTGTCCAGGTCCCACGGTCAGCTGTGGGTGGACTGGGCCCATGTGAACACCCAGTGCCCTTGGTGACCCCCACGGTGCTTCCCACGCAGGCTAGGCGTGGCCGCCCAGCAGCAGAGCCAGTCCTGCCTACAGCCGAACCCCCAGGCCACTCGGTGCACCATCCCCCACGTGCACCTGTTCTCCATGGTGCCCTACGTGTTAAATGTCACGGCGGTGCACCCCAGCGGCGCCAGCAGCAGCCTCCTGGCCTTTGTGGCTGAGCAGATCAGTGAGTGTCGGTCCTTCCCGCGCCTCCCAGTCCCCAGCCTACACCACGCGGGGGGTGGGGGGTGGGGGTGGGAGGTGGGGGGGGGCAGTCCTGCCAGTCCCTGCAGCCTCCCTTCTCAGGCTCTCTTCCAGCCTCACTTGCCTCCTCTTACTTCCCCACACCCCAGGCTCCAGCCTGCCTGAGGTGTTACATGGCTTCCTTCCTTGGCCTTCTTAGGTCTCTGATGGCACATCAGCTCCTCAATGAAGTCCCCCTCCCCCCCAAAAAAAGTATATTGTTAAACATGAGTGACAATCATGGTTAAGAGAGGACTAAAGCCGGGGTGGCATACAGGGCTTTAATCCCAAAGGTAGGCAGATCTCTCAGAATTCAAGGCCATCCTGGTCTACAGAGCGAGTTTGAGGTAAGTCGGGGTCAAGAACCCAAGATCCTGTCACTAAGGAGAGAGAGAGAAAGAGAGACCAGTGAAGTTCAGTGAAAGACTACACCACCCTCAAAGGGTTAAACATGGAGTCTTCACATGATCTCCACTCCCAGGTGTCTGCTCAACAGAAATAAAAATGTTCAGCCCTACAAATCCTTGGCAACCTTATTCACAGCATCCAGAAGGGGGCAGCCTGTGCCACGGGTCTTCCTGTGGATGGATGGACACACAATGTCCATCTGTCTACACTGGGGACACCACTCAGCCCTGAAGAAGTGTGGAGGGACCTTGAGGACACAGTGCTCAGTGAGCAACCCAGACACAAACCACACAGCGTGGTCTCCAGGACAGGGGGATCCAAAGACAGAAGGAGAATAGTGGGTGATGAGGGCCAGCGAGGGGTAGGGAGATGGCTAATGGTATGTAGACCTTGTGTTAGCATGAAGCAGTGTTCTAGAGACAGACAGAGAAATGCAAAACTCTCTGAGGATGCACCAATGTCCTCCAGCACAGTCTTGTGCTATCAGAATGGTGTCTCAGAAAAGCCCTTCAGCCCATTCGGGACTTTCACTCTGAAATTTTCTCTTTGTCTGTCATGAGTTCTGTCAGCAGTGATGATGGCAATTCAACAAATGCTTGCTCCTTGAGCAGATGGGTGAATAAATGAATGGATGACTGACATAAGTGCATAATGAATGCATGAATGACTTAATGAATGAGTGAATGAATAAATGCATGAATGATACAGTGAATGAGTGAAGGACCTAATGAGTGAGGAAATGAATACCTGAATGACATAATGGGGCAATAAAAGCATGAATGAATGAGTGTACAAATGGATAAGTGAAGAAATTAATGGATTCAATGAATGAATCCATTACAATGAAGGAGTTAATGAATCAGTGCATAGATCTGCATGTGAATCAAACAATACATTAATGTGTGAGTGAGCTGGTGACTAAGTTAAGGAATTAGTGAAGGATTGAATGAACAAGCAAAGGAATGAACTGATGATATGAATGGATGAGTTAAAAAAAAAAACAGTGCAAATGCATGAATGGTGGCTGAAGGCGAGCCAATATATGAATGAATGAAGGCGGGAATCAGTGCCTGATGGGTGAACCAGCTGAGCCGCTCCTGACCAGGCTCCCTGCTCCCCACAGTCAAGCCTGATCCCCCGGAAGGCGTGCGCCTGCGTACAGCGGGGCAGCGGCTGCAGATGCTCTGGCATCCCCCTGCCTCCTGGCCTTTCCCGGACATCTTCTCTCTCAAGTACCGCATCCGCTACCGGCGCCACGGAGCCTCTCACTTCCGCCAGGTGAGAGGGGACTAGGATAGGATGAGACAGGATTCCCCCGAGCACCCTCAGGTCTCCACCTCCAGTCTCTCTGTGGAAGCGCTGATGTCACACTGATGTCACGTGACTCTGCAGCTGCCTTGCATGAGTGCTGGGTTTTTGAACTCACTGCCGGCACTTTACCCAGCAAACGGGCTCCCTAGCTCCCAGTGCATGGTGGTCCTACCCACCACCACCTCCTCTCTCCCTGCAGGTGGGACCCATTGAAGCCACGACCTTCACCCTGAGGGCTGCGCAGCCCCGTGCCAAGTACTTTGTCCAGGTGTCAGCCCAGGACCTCATGGACTATGGGAAACCAAGTGACTGGAGCCTCCCAGGGCAAGCGGAGAGGACTCCCCTTAATCCCTGAAGAGGGACTGCATCCTTGATAGCAGACCCTGATGTCGTCTACTTCAAAGTGACTGGGTTTGGCTGGCCTGGGTTCGAGTCCTGACTGCGCGTGCTGGGATGGTTGGCAGCATTGAACAACTGACTTGACCTCTCTGGACCTCAATTTCCAAACCTGTGGGGATGGTATTTTTCCTTCTATAAGTGCTGGACTTTATGAAATGCAAATGTGATCTGATTAGAAATTTTAATTAAATAAGAATTATTAGCTGGTTAGTGGGGGTACACACTTTTAATCCAAGCACTGGGGAGAGCACTCGGGAGGCAGAGGCAGGTGGATCTCTATGAACTAGAGGCCAATCTGGCCTACAGAGCGAGTTCCAGGTCAGCCAAGGGTACACAGAGAAACCCTGTCTCAAAACAAAACTATTATCATTATTGTGGGCGAGGGATGTTCCAGGCAGGACTTCTTTGTGTGTGCCTGGCAGTCCTAGACCAGGCTGGCCTCGAACTCACAGACATCCTCTGTCTCTGCCTCCCGAGGGCTGGGATTAAAGACTTACGCCACCATCGCCAGACAAGAATTATTATTAAAATTGTCTTTTTTGAAATTTAAATATTTTATTATCAAATATGTGCATGCGGTGGTATTACAGTGTCCATAAATCTTGTACTTCAAGATTTATTTTGTTTTACATGTATGTGTATGTATTGGTCTGTATGTAGAAGTACACGGGTGCAGGCACCCAGTGGAGGCCAGACAGGGTGTCAGATCTCCTGGAGCTGGAGTTACAGGTGATTGATTGTGAACCAAATCATGAAACCCATCAAGTACAGCGGCCAGCAGAGGGCGACAGAGCCCTGAGCCGGAGTTACAGGAGCACGGTGTGGCGGCTTGGTTGGCAGGCCTTGGGCTCTTGAGCCCTGAGCCACCTCTCCAGCCCTTTGTCCATCTAGTCCGCTGAGTGAGAGACATGGTGGGTTGTCTGTGTTGGAGTGCCCACGACTCCCAAACAAGACCTTTATAACGAAAAGAAGTTGATGTGGCTCAAGGTTCAGGAGCCTGGGAGGACCCAGAAGGAATCCCACGTGGTACAATGCCTAAAGGTGGAAAGATCAGGGGAGGGGATAAAGCAAAGTGTAAGGCCCGGGTTCCCATCACCGGTCATGCAAAAGAAAACAGGGAGGAGAGTGGTCAGTAAGTGAATGCGGGGGGACGGACACACAACTGCTTCCCCCAACTGAGAGCCAAACAGGATGCAGACCAGCCTGGTCGAAATGAGGAGAGAGGAAAAGAATGGTGGGAAGGTAAAGACCAGCCTGGAGACCCTGTCTCAAAAAGAAGAGAAGGAGGATGGGGAGAGTCAGGGGCGTGGCTCAAGGGGGAGCCCCCTTGGATCGCCAGGTGAAGGGCTGGGGGCGGGGCTCAATGACAGCAGCTTGCCATAGTTTGTATGCATAAATAATAAACAAGCAAATGTAAAAACCATCTTAACCTGGCGGTGGTGGCACACGCCTTTAATCCCAGCACTCGGGAGGCAGAGGCAGGTGGATTACTGAGATTTCAAGGACAGCCTCAACTATATAGTGAGTTCCTGTCTAACAAGAGAAAAAAAAATAAAAAATAAAAAACAACAAAACATAATGTAAATCAGGCAGACCACTGATTTCCAGCTACTCAAGAGACTTGCAGTAAGATTGCTGCAAAAATAAGGCCAACCTGGGCTACAGAGAGCTTCCTCTGGGCATTTTAGGGAGAGGCTATCTCAAAAGATTAGAGGGCTGGGTAGTAGCTCAGTGGTAGAATGCCTGCCTGGCAAGTGCCAAGACCCTGGGTTCGATACCCAGCATTAGAAACGAACAAAGAAACAACAGAGCGGGGCCAGGGCAGCCGCTTCTTTAATCTCAGCATTGGGAAGGCAGAGACAGGAGGATCTCTGTGTGTTCGGGACCAGCCTGGGCTACGTGGTGAGTTTCAGGACAGCCAGGGCATACAGTGAGACCCTGACTCAAAAACAAACACTATCAATAGAGCAGCGGTGCGGAACAAAACCTCACAGACTGCAGGTAGCTTTCTCCGCGCTTTCCAGCGAGGCGCACGTGCACATACGCGATCAGGATGCTCCCGGAACCTTTATTTATTGCCTCACCTACTGGCATTCAGGAAAGGAACGAAAGCACACTCGCGACATTGATCGACAGCGAGTGCAGCCAATGAGAACGCTAAAGGCTGTGAGCTACAACCTGTAAGACAGCCAAGGAAGTGACGTCCAGAGAACCTCGGCGCCTGGTCGGATAAACTGCAAGAGGACCAAGGCGAACGGCTTCCCTCTCTTGTGCGACTGAGAGGAAGCGAAGATGTCGGAACGGAAAGTTCTAAACGTAAGTGCTCAGAGTCTAGAAGTTTCTGTCGAGAGCGGGACGTCAGAGGGCTCTGGGAGAGTCTCGCTTCCTTCCGGTTTTTTCTTTGGAATCCCCCCCCCAAAAAAACGGCTTTCCGTGGGGCGGAGCTTCCCAAGCTCGTGCCAATCACATTGCTTAGGGGCGGTGTTAGCTTGTTTCCTTTCCGGCTTAGAAGACAATCATCACCAGGCAGCGGAGTATTTATCATTTTGTCCGATTGGTTTTTCTAAAGGAAGCTATCCAGTCGTTTTTTCTGGGGCGTTGCACCCGGTTTTTGTTAAGCAGATATCAGACTGGGACGCAGGGACTCAGTTTCCTCTCTTGAAGAACTTTACTCTCCATTTCCTGGATTTTTTGTTTGTTTGTTTGTTTTGAGACAGGGTTTCTCTGTGTAGTTTTGTTGCCTTTCCTGGATCTCACTCTGTAGACCAGGCTGGCCTGGAACTCACAGAGATCTGCCTGGCTTTGCCTCCCGAGTGCTGGGATTAAAGGCGTGCACCGCCCGGCCATTTCCTGGGTCTTTTATGTTTGTTTTGAGCCAGGGTCTCACTGTGTCGCCCAGAATGGCCTCCGGTTCATACCCACCTATATGAGCCTCCCAATTGCTGGTATTAAAGGCGTGTACCCTTACGCTGGGCCATATTCATTTTTTAAAGATTTATTTGTTTGTTTGTTTGTTTATTATTTATTTATTTATTTATTTTGCCGGCATGTCTATCTGTGCACCACATGCGTACAGCGCCCAGCCTGACTGCAAACTCATAATTCTCCTGCATCATCCTGTGCTGGGTCGACAGGTGTATACCACCATGCCAGCGTCCCACTGAAGTCCTGGCAAAGCTTTCTGCAGGCAAGGGAGACCACTCCCTTCCCTGTGGGACTGTCTGCCAGCAAGTGTCCAAAGCAGAGCGCCTCCTCCTGGTGGTCCTCACAGTTTCTTTTTTGCACGGGAGTTTGTTTTTCTTCATCCCCCTCACTCCTGTTTCACACTCCCAGGTGCTGGGATGGCTGGTGTGCCTGTTGGCATGATCCCAGAGTGGCTTTGCCTGTGTGGCTCACTCGAGCCTCCCAAGCACACAGAGAAAAGATTCACTGGCCAGATTTTACCCTGGGATGGTCTCTTGTGTGGTTCCCTAGTCCAGGCTAGACCATCATCATTAACAGTGCCTGGTCCCTAGTTATCTCATGAACATCTGGAGTCTTATCATGTACTGGGCAAAAGGAGCCCACCCCCACTACAAATCCTGGGCCTCTAGAACCTTCTCTGGAAGGCATGTGACAGCACATGGGAGCACCATGCACACACCCTATGATTGTCTAGGAGAAAGTTCTGAAAGCTTGTGCACTCTCCTCCCTGTCCCAGCTTCTCTTCTCATGGCTGTTTTTCAAACAGCCCATGACTGGGAAGGAAGGAACACGATGAATCCTGGGCAGATCCCTAAAACTGGGGTATCTTGGGTCCTCTGACATGGCTCCCAGACCCCATTTTTGCCCATGTGGGACCTGAGTAGCGGAAAAACCACAGCATCTCCTTTCCCTGCAGAAATACTACCCACCTGACTTCGACCCATCAAAGATCCCGAAACTCAAGCTCCCCAAGGACCGGCAGTATGTGGTTCGGCTGATGGCTCCCTTCAACATGAGGTGAATCCCCAGAGGTGTGAGGCCAGGAGTCTGGAGAAAGAGCAAACAAGGACGAAGTCCTTATCCCCATGGCGTCCCCAGGCCCCATCAGAAGGCCTCCGTGCACAACAGAGTAACATGAGGTCCTGCAGGGTCCTTGTACCAGCCATGGCCTCTGCCTGCAGTTCTCATGTCAGGGGTTTCCTTCCTCCTCACAGACCCTAGCTCCCGTCTCAACCTAGACAGGCGCCAGCCTCCCCCTAGACCTTCACCTCCCCCCTCCCCCTAGACCTTCACCTCACCCCCCCCCCCCACTTTCCTGGGTTTCTCCTGCTTGGAATCTAACCACCATTCACACTTGATTTCATGTGGAAATCATGACTCATCATGACTCCTTCTGGTCACTGAGGATGGAGAGGCCGTCCGTGTTGACCGGTTGGGGTATATCATCTTCATTCTTTCATTTGCACCTGTCTTAGTCGCTGTGAACATGGGAACTCTTAGAAGAGAAAGCATTTAATTGGTGCTCGCTTACAATTTCAGAGCCTTAGTCCATTGTCACGGCGGGGAGCGTGGTGGCAGGCATGGCAGGCACGGTGCTGGAGGAGGATTTGGAAGCTACATCCTGACCCATAGGCAGAGAGAGAGAAAAGCACTGGGCCTGCCACGGGCTCTTGAAACCTCACAGCCCACCCCCAGTGACATGCTTCCTCCAACACGGCCACACCTCAGAATCCTTTCAAGTCATGCCACTTCCTGATGTATGGCCCTGTAGCGGCGATTCCTGTTCAAACCACTGCACTGCTCCAGCAGGCAGTTGTCAGGTGCCTGCTGTTAGTCCAGGACAAGGCCTCCAGCCTCGTGATGCTCACAGGCTAGTAGGGAGTGGGAATGATGCCCATCCTCTGGTAGTCACAGAAGGACACATGAGGCAGGGCAAGTGGTCTGCCAGCTGGACAGCCAGGGAAGTGTTAGAATCTCAGGCTGTGGGATCTGCAGAACAAAGGCCAAGACAGAAGTGTTTGTAGGCACAGCAGGAAGGGAAGAGGGGCCAGGGTATAGGACCCTGCAGTCCCCTGGAGCCCCACACACCTAGGCAGGACTGTCCTCCCTGCCCGTGGAGTTGCAAATGCTGCCGCCGGCTGTTGGGGCAGAGTGCAGAGACGCTCGTGTGTCTGCCCTGGCTGCAGGTGTAAGACATGTGGAGAATAC